TATTTTAAACATTTAACAAAATAAGGATTAAGATTAATATTTTTAACGCAAAAATTTTTTATATTTTTAACGCAAATTTTTATCTTTTTAAAAGTATTGTAATAAGGGTTTTTAATTATCAACGCTAAAAGCTCTTAATTTTGTAAACTAAAAATAAATTTTGTGTAAATTTACATATAAAAGTTCAATTATTTCTGCTTTATAGTTATAACTATAGCTCCAACCATAGCCAGTAAAAGAATTATAGATGTAATAATAAGTCAGAGAGGATAACTAGTATAAAGAATATTTCCTATTGTAGTTATGTGAGAAGTCTCTGCTAAATTTCCATCTCAAATTTGAGATGATACAAATGCTATTTCATTACTATCTTTAGATATATTAAAAAATCCTTTTAAAGAATAATTAATTTCATTAACATTAGTTGTATGAGAAAAGTTTATATTTGAATATACTACATTACCGTAAGCACGATTTGAAGGTAAAGTTTCATATAAAGTAGTAATGAAAAAAATACCAATTAATACCGCTAACGGTATACTATTACTAGAATCTGTTACAAGTTCAGATATTCTTACATTAATTAACATTAAGATAAAAATAAATAATATAGATACAGCCCCTACATATACCAATAAGTAAGATAAACCTATGAAGTTTATACCTACCATCATTAAGTAGCCAGCAATACTTAAAAATAAACCTATTAAAAATAAAACAGAAACAATAGGGTTTTTACTAATAATAACTAAAATTCCACATAAAATAGCAGCTAAAGAAATAAAGTTTAAGAAAATATAATTTGAACCGTTAGTATACGTTTCATTTAGGAGAAATAAATTTAACATATGTTATTAAAAAATTAAATCTAATGGTACAACAATAAAGTATAGTGTGCATATAGTAAAAAGATATATATCATACAAAAAGAATGTATGTCTATAAAATTTTATTTTTATTTTCGGTTGGGTTCGGTATAAACCCAGCCTACATTCTTACCCAAGATTTGAACTTGGACGTTGATATTAGGAATATCTTGTTCTACCATTAAACTAGTAAGAGTTTTTTTAATTTTTAACGCCAAAGCGCTATTTTAAGATTTTTATTAATTTTTTAATCTATGTATAATTACAAAATTATACTGTAATATGCAAAGCGAAAATATAAGTCTCATTTAATATACTTTAGAAGTAACTTAATAACTGCTTACTCAACCTTTTAATCCAAAAGAACCATTACGGGTTTTAGAACTTATTTTTGTATACTGTAAATTAGGTTTAGTATTACCTCTTAGCATAACTGATGATAAAGATTTATAAGAAGAATCTATATTTTTTAAACTTCCTTTGTATTTTAATTTAAAAACAGATCTTGAAGCAGTTAAACGCCTAGACAGTCTACCTCTAGCTTCCAGTCTTACACCGTATATAGCTTTATGTTTAATTGAATTTAAAACATTTTTTTGTAAACTAGTTTCTTTTTGTGATATATTAGAATATTGAGTTTTTTCCATATTAGGGAAAATATTGTATAATAGTTGATGTAATACATCTTTATTTTTTGGCATAATAGAAATAAATCTATTTATTTTTAAAGTTCTATATTTGTTTATAAACTTTGTAGGTATTTTTTATCATAAAAAGATAGTTTGTTTAAAATGGGTAATTTAACTAATTTAAAGGCTTTTTTAAAACTCTTAGTAATCTATTTTGCCTGTTTCTTAATTTTATAGCAATAGACTGTGAAAAGATATCACTGTTTAAATGTAGATATTTCAAATTAACAAAATTAAATTCAACTTTTTTGTGGTATATCTTAGATATTATTTTTTAATCCAAGTAAAAATCAGTTTTTAAATTTATTATTGTTAAATGTCAACATTTGTACATAATATAAATATAACATTTCTTTTTTATATGATTTCTTTATAAAATTTTTATAATATTTAGTTTCATAGTTTAAAAAGTTTTTATTGTTTCATTCAAGTATTTTAAGAAGAAAATTTTTCTGTTTTCTAACTTTTCTAATAATTCTTGAACCTTTTAGTGACACAATGTTAATTTTTTTATTAGATAACTTTTTCTTTTTTTAGAGAACTTTTTTCTTTAAAATCCTATAAAGATTTTTTAATAAAAATAATTTTTTTTTAATGCTAACCCTAAAGCGCCAGAGTGGTTTTTTTGTGAAATATTAGATAAAGTATAAATATTATGATTATACATTTTACTAATAACAAATAACTTATGAAGGTTTCTTAATCTATATATAAAATTTTTAATTTTTCTAGGTTTTCTATTTTTATTCATCAAGTTAGAAAAAATTGGTTTTTTCAATAGATAGCGCTTTGGCGTTAAAAGAATTTATATTTCTTCTAGTATTAAAAGGTTTTTATCTGGCTTATTACTCTTTATTCTTGTAAATGTTATAAGCGTTTTAGCTTTATTTATATGTTTAGTAAATATATTTTTGTTTTTACTAAATATATTTTTATTATTTAATAGAGAGTAATATTTTCCCATTAATGATGTATATTTGTCTTTTAAGCCAGAGTTTTTATAATAAAAGAAAATTTTTAGGCTTTTTTTGTTAAATGAGTAAAATTTAAAGAAAAATTAGTTTTTATTTTTTAGTATAAAACTTCTTAGATCTTTTAAATCTTTTGGTATTAAACTTAGGTAAGTTTAGATTTTTTTATATAAACAGAGTTATTATTTATTCTTTTATGTATTATAAGCGTTTTAGTATTACTTATATGTTTAATAAATTTACTTTGGTATTTACTAAATGTATTTTTGTATTTACTAAATGTATTTTTGTATTTACTAAATACATTTTTATTTGTATGTTTGCTTTTACTAGGTAAGATAGGTATGCTTTTAAAAAGGAATATTTTATATAAATTTTTTAATTTATTATAAAAAATTTCTTATTTCTATTATAGAGATATACAGTTATTATAACTTTGTTGTTAGTGTGTTTCATTTCTGCTTTACTTACAAGTATTCTATTTAAAGATAATCGTTTAAATCTAACTTGTACTCTTTTAGATTTTTTTATTAAAGAGCGGACTTAAATTAAAGTAACTTTTAATTAACTTATTTACTATGTTATCTACTATAGGTAATGTTTTAATGTAATTTTTGTTATAGGAATATATACTATTAGATCATTCTTTATTTGCAGGTGGATAATGTCTTTCATCTATATTCTTATTATTTTCGTTATTAATAAAAGGATCTGTAGAAATATAGTTGGATTCCAATGTGTGAGGAAAAAATGTAAAATTTTCTTTGGTTTTTTTCAAATAAGTTTAACATAATATTTATTACGTAAAAGAAAAATTTTGTTCTGTTGTTTTATGCAAAAGAAATATATATTAGTAAAAGCTTTTAAGCTAACTAATCTCTTTTAATTAATAAAATGTAAGGAAATCTGTAAATTAGTCTAAATTTTAGAGGTGTTTAACGTTTTTATGTATAAATAAACTTCGCTTCAAGTATAATATGTAAGTATTAATATGAAATTAAAAACTAATCTTTTAGCTTAATAAAAATTGAAAAAATATGTATTACTATTATGTAACAAAATTGTTTGGATTATTTTTATGAAAAAGGAAAAAGATTAAGTAAAATAGTAATAAGTTTAAGTAGACTCAGAAAAATCATCAAAATACTTGGATAAAAATAAGCCGGGTTCTGTATATACATATAAATCTAAAAAATGCTTAATAGAGGTTTAAATTCAACAATCATATAATACTATTTAATATGTATATATCTTATAAGTTTTATGACTTTTATTTTCTACCAAGTACCAAAATTTTAATCTTTAAATTCTATTTATAAAGCACTGGACTTTCCTATGTTATTATATAATAATAAACACTTTTAATTTTATATCACAAGTATTTAATACTAAAATATCATTAATAAACTATTAAATAAACACTTATAATAGTTTATTTAAGATAGTATTAACTATACTACTATTTTATTAGGTGTATATATTTTATAAACTTTTTTTTATTGTATTAGTGTAGCTCTAAAGCGTCTTTAACGTAAGAACAAGTTAAAACTACGAAAACTTGAGCTTGAATAAATGCAATAGCTAACTCTAATCCAGAGAATGCTATAATAAATGCTAAAGGTATTAAACCTAAGAAGAAGAATAATACACCACTAGTCATAATATTGTATGTAAATCCACTTAAAATAGATAATAACATGTGACCTGATAGTATATTAGCTGCAAGTCTTAATCCTAATGATACATTACGTGCAAGATATGAGATAAATTCTATAAGAACTAATAGTGGTAATAATGCTAAAGGACAACCTGAAGGTACAAATAATGAAAAGAATTTTAATCCGTGTTTATTTAGACCTAAAAGTGTTGCACCTAAAACTACAGTAAAACTTAGTGAAAATGTAAGTACAAAATGACTAGTTGAAGCAAAACTATAAGGAACCATACCTATTAAATTGCTAATTAATATAAACACAAATAATGAATACATAAGAGGAAAATACACTTGACCGCTTTTGGCATTTATTTGATTTACAACAATACTGTGCACAGTAGCGTATATTGTTTCTTGGCTTATTGATCAACTATTCGATACAACTTTGTTATTGTTAGTTGCTAATAAATTTAACATTAGAATTAAGTATCCTGCTATTGTTATATATAAACCAGTATTAGTTAAAGAGATTGATAAATTACCTAGTATAGGTGCGTCTAAACTTAATAAATTTCTAATTTCAAATTGATCTAGTGGGCTTGTTATATTTATAAATGAGTTCATTATATTTATATTTTAAGTATGTATTTAAATAACAATAGAGTAAAACCTGTATATATATTTTTCTAGTCTTTTACTTTAAAAATTAAAGTTTACTGATAAATACTCTTGTAGAGAATAAACGAACAAATCTAGGTAATACATATTTTGAAAATATATATATTAAAGATATAAGTACTAAAAATGCGAATGTAACTTCGTTAACAAAATAAAATGGTACTAATTGAGGCATCTGATTATATATGTATAATTGTCATAATAATTTATATGACTATATCTAATAAAAGATTTGGGTTTAAAGGTAAAAGTAGTTATCTATTTTTATATAAGCTAAAAATGTTTTTTGTAAATATTAGTAAAGATATAATATTTTATAGGGATACGGAGGAATTGAACCTCTTATTTTCGATCTGCAATCAAAACGTAAAACCATTTACAACAATATCCCCTTAAATTAGCTAAAAGTAAAAAAGCATATGTAACTATTACATACATATAGCTAATAAATAATTTTAATATTTATAATATATTCCTACCTAAGTAATTATTACAAAAGTAACTAAATTATTTTAATTTGAACGTTTTTAGAAAAACGCTGAAATTATTAAATTTTATTTATTCATAAATAAGTATTTATTAATAATAAATATAAGTATTTACTTATATATAACTATTTACTAATAATACACATATAATAAATATTTTTTATATTATTAAAATTACATGTTTTTACTAGATATCTATAATAAATATAAAGATTATAATATTAAGAACCTCAGTAGTAAACAGATAAAAATAAGAATAATCATACTACATCTACAAAATGTCAGTATAATATTCCAGCTTCTAATCCCAAGTGATGATTTTCAGTTAAGTGATAGGCTAGAAGACGTCAGAAACCTACACCTAAGAATATTGTTCCTACAATAACATGTATACCGTGAAAACCTGTTCCAAAATAAAAACATGATCCAAATGCACCATCTGATAAAGTAAATGAAGAAACTGAATATTCTACCCCTTGGAAAGCAGTAAATATTAGAGCTAAAATTATAGTAAATATTGCACCATATAAAGCACCATTTCTATTTCCTTGTATTAAAGAATGGTGTGAATAAGTTATTGTTACACCAGAAGCTAATAATAATACTGTATTTAATAAAGGTAATTCAAAAGCATTAATTGCTTCTATACCCATTGGAGGTCATTGTGCACCTAATTCAACAGTTGGTGATAAAGCACTGTGGAAATAAGCTCAAAAAATAGCTAAAAAAGAAAGCTTCAGATACTATAAATAAAGCTACTCCCATATTTAAACCTCTTTGTACAGCTAAAGTGTGGTTACCTAAATATGTACCTTCTGATATTACATCTCTAAATCAGAAAAACATACTTGAAAGTAATAAAATAAAGGCACAAGGTAATCAATATTCTGCATTTACAAAGCCATGCATTGTTAATACACCTGAAGTAGTAAGAGTTAGTAAGCTAATACAAGTGAAAAGTGGTCAAGGAGATGGAGAGACCAAATGAAAAGGATGACCCTGGAAATTACTTCTCTGTAAATTAGACATAATTAAGATAAAATATAACATAATACAATAAGAAATTTCTACTAAGAACTTAGCAAAGCCTACAAACATAGCTAGCATAACATTATAATATTTTTTTTGATTCCTCCAAGACTCGAACTTGAATAACATCCTTATCAAGAACACACTTTACCGGTTAAGTTAAAGAACCTTTGTATAACCTAAATAATAATTATACAAACAAGAGCACTCAGACTTGAACTGAGAATTTGAAGTTTGAAGCTTCCTATTTTGCCAATTAAACTATACTCTTTTTTTTTATTACAATACATTACTAATAATTAAAAAAAATAAAAAATGAAATATTATTCTTTTATGTCAAGACCAGGTATGTTGTTGGCCATATGAGTAAATAAATCATGTACGTGATTTTCATGATCCTTATTTAAAAGATCTCAAATATGAGGATAAGGAATTTTGTCTGTAGACTCAACCCCTAAATTCCTAAGGCTAGATGTATCAGTAAGCATAGGATATTTTTTAAAATAATACAGGTAATCAATAAGGTTATTAGTACTATTAATATCCATGAATTGAAATGCTGGTATTAATTGATTTAAAGGGATAAAACCTTTATAATGAAAGATATTATAGTCACCTAATAAAGGGGCGTAAGAGTAAAATTGAAAAAAGCTATTTTACTAGCTTTCATAGCAATTACAAAAACAGCAAAGTTACCCCCTTCGTAATCAACGGTATGCAATATTGTATCATACAATTGATCCATAATGCTGTTGAAATCAGAATTAACCAGGCTCTTAATTTCAACAAAGACATGCGGAACTAATTGCTCACCGTCTACACGCTCAATAGCGAAATCCGGTCTTCGTCTAGAGAAATGTTGAATTTGCTCTGGAGTACTACTGAAACCACCGCTAGGTGGAAAATAATGGCTTAACATAGTACTTGTAGCTGAACCCGTTCTATGTTCCATTGTATTATTTCCTTCGTGAATTCTTTTTAAAGCTAAGTTTATTGATTTAATAGATAAATACTTCATGTCTAATTATATGTATAATTGTCATAATAATTTATATGACTATATCTAATAAAAGATTTGGGTTTAAAGGTAAAAGTAGTTATCTATTTTATGCTATGCTAAATTTCCTTTTAAATTTATTTTACAATACAGATAGTAAACTGTTAAGTTTTCTACGGAAAAGGATGGAATTGAACCATCAGGTGTTAAAACACAATATTTAGCAAATATCTTACCCTACCAATAGCAACTTTTCCTTTTTAATGCAGTATATAATTAAGTAATATATAACATTAACAAAAGAGATGTCGCTTTTGCGTTTGAATAATATGAAAGTTATATATATAAACCGAGTTAGACCGGCCTCGACCCGATATTTTCTTTCTCGACAAGAAAGTGCTCTACCAATTGAGCTACTAACTCCTTTAATATACGGCCAACCGAATTCGAATCGGTACACATCGTTTGGAAGACGAACGGTCTACCATTAACCTATAGCCGTAGTAATATATACTATTAGATTGTTAATAACATTTTTGTAAAACATTTAAAATCCAATACTAATATATATATTATCATTTATAAACATACTAAAAAATATAATGCACATGTATAAATTACATATACAAATTATTAAAAATTACATATACAGCGTCTATTGTATACTATTATTGGTTTTTAACGCAAAAGCGACATTACTTTTATCAGCATATTTATATAATTACTAAGATTAATTTAATTTTAAACCATTTACTAATATAAACATTATTGTTTTTTTTTTATTTGTTGTATTTTAATACTAGTATAGACCTAATATTTCAGAGTAAACGCGTACAAGAGTCGAACTTGTATTTTTGTGTCCGTAGCACAACACTCTACCATTAAGTTAACACGTTGGCTCTCAAAACCCTAGATTTTTATAGTGTATACATAATACTATTAGGCAACATACAGTAATAGGAATGCCATCATAAGTGCAAATAGCCCAGTGGCTTCTGCAAAGGCAAATCCTAATATGGCATATGAGAAAAGTTGACCTCTAAGAGCAGGGTTTCTAGCTACTCCTAAAATTAGAGCACCAAACACTACACCTATACCTACACCTGCACCTATTAAACCTGTTGTGGCTAAACCAGTACCAATAATTTTTGCTGCTTGTATCATAATATAATCTCTAGAGATTAAATCTAAAAAGGAAAACCTCGCATTATTTTTATCTTTTTTATATTTTATATTTTTAACCCCAAAAAAAAGCGCTATATGTATAATTACAAAGATATAATGTAAAAAAGCCTGTATACTACAAAGTTTATATACTTTCTTTTTACTTAAAGTTTTTTAAGGTAAAAAAAGAGATATATATAAGAGCTATGAGATTTGAACTCATATTACAGTGATTAAAAGTCACATACTTTACCATTAAGTTAAGCTCTCTTTTAATTAATAAATTATAACGTTATAATTTGTTGACATAAATGCATAACATTACTATAATATTTTTTTCAATATGGACTTTTTTTATTTTTTATTTATTTTGCTTTGTAAAGGTGTCGCTTCTGCGTTTAAAGGCATGAGGTTAAAGAAAACTGTTTAAACATAAAACCATTAAGCTAACATGTGCAATATTTTATACAAAACATAAAAAATATCCAAGAAACGACTTGAACGTTTACGACCTTAGTCAGCGAATCTTAAGTTCGCCCTGTCTACCAATTCCAGCACTCGGATTAAAATATAACTTCAACTCTTTTAATTTAGGTTCCATTACATTACTAATGTAATTTTTGACTTTTTTTAGCCAATTTTTCAACTATTTTTTTGCAAATAGATCGAAGATATTACCTTAAGATTTAACGTGTGTTAACACGCTATAATATCTTTCTAAAGATTTAACATATTGGTTTAGAAAAATGAATTATATAGTAAAAGATGTTTGCAGGTTACTTCTTAATAATAAACTCTAGTATGGTTTTCAATTCAAAAAATTCATCATTTAACCAAAATAAATCGAGAGGCTAAAAATAGAATAGAACAAGTAATAACCAGAAAGTTAAATAATAAAGCTTTTTTGTTGTGGTGCATGGTTTTTTCCCCTCACCGGCTAAAGGAAGTATACCTCTAAGATTTTAACCGTTTTTTGGCTTCATTTAAAAATGCAGCAGCCTTGTTCTTAGAGACAAAAGTAGTAGATAGTTTTGTCTCAACATTGGTTAATGTAACCAGGATAGCTTTATAGCTATTATTAGATAAGTTTAATCTTTTCTTATCTTAAACGGGTCTAACATTAGAATAAGAAAATGTTGATACACTTTTTTTATTTAGTGATCTAGCTTTTTTAATACCTAAACAAGTTTTACAGAAAAGTTCTTTAGTAACCTCACTATGCTTAAATCCTAAGCTAGATCCTTAACCCTTAAGCCATATACCTTATCCCTTATCCCTTTTGCACCATAGTTTTATATTATTATAAGTTTGGCGCTTTAGCAATAAAATGTTAATTTTATATTAAAGTTATCTACTTCAACTACGCTGTTGGAGAATAATATATTAAAGAAGAAACTGAATAATGTAAACCGTCAAGCACAGGTGCAGGGTATATACCTAGTACTACTGTAAATACAACTAATGTTAATAAAATAAAGAATTCACGTTTGTTTAAATCAGGTATATTAACAAGGAAATATTTAGAGTATGAACCACCAAAAACTATTCTATTATACATAAATATTGTATAAGCAGCTGAGAATACTATTGAAGTACTAGCTAAAACACCTAATATAGGCATTCTTTCAAATACTCCATATAATGACATAAATTCACCTAAGAAATTTAGAGTTAAAGGAGTACCACTATTACCTAAACCTAATATGAAGAATAATACAGAGAATATAGGCATAACTTGAGCCATACCTCTATAATATGTTATTAATCTAGTAGATGATCTGTCATATAAAACTCCTCCTGCACAAATAAATAATCCTGATGAAACAAAACCATGAGCTAAACCTAAAAGTATTGAACCTTCAATACCTTGTATTGTATTACTAAATGCACCTATTAAGTAAACAGCTGCATGAGATACAGATGAATATGCAATAAGTTCTTTAATATCTATTGTTCTTAATGTACTAAAACTAGCATATATAATTGTTATTACACCTATTACGTAAATTATATATGTATAATTTAAAGAAGCTTTAGGTAATAAAGGTAACATTAATCTAAATATACCATATAAACTTAATTTTAAAACTATACCTGCTAAAATAATACTTCCTGATAATGGTGATTCAACATGAGCTTTTAAAAGTCAGCTATTTAAAAATAGTCGGAGTTTTAACCGCGAAAGCTATAAAAACCCCATAAAATAAAAATAACTGAGTATAGAAATTAAAATTTGTTTTATACAATGCATCATAATCAGTAGTACCCATAATAGAAGACATTGTAAGTATAGATAATAATAAAAATAAGGAACCTAACAATGTGTATAAAAAGAGATAAAAACTAGCTCTTACTTTATTACTTGAACCAAATAATCCTATTAATAAAAATAAAGGAGGTAGTATGCTTTCAAAAAAATATAAAATAATAAAACATCTAAAACTAAAAAAACTGCTAAAAGTAATGTTTCAAGTAATAAAACAATTATTACATAAGATTTTACATTTTCTGATATTGAATTTCAATTTGATAATATTGCTATAGGCATTATTATAGTTGTTAATAATACAAAATATATTGATAAACCATCTACACCTAAATATATATCAAAATAACTTATTTGATAATGTTCTTCAATAAATTGAAATTGTTTACTACTAAAGTTAAAAAATACAAATACAATTAATGAAATAAACAAATTAATTACAGATGTAATTAAACCAGTTACTTTAATACGTTTTAAATTTAAATTTGAATTATCATGGTACATAGTTGTAGAGATTATAAATATACCCGCTAGAGGTATTAACAGTAAAAGCATAAGCAACATTAGATTTAATAAATAGATATAATAAATTTCCTTTTAAATTTATTTATAAAAAATAAATTTTGTAACACCCTACATATCTGTAAAGTAAATTTAAAAAACTAGGAAAAATAAAAAGAGCGGAATATCTTTTTCTACTTTTACACTAGTAAGAGTTTATAATTATTAAATAATAAATTATAAAGAAATAAAATAGATTTGTTTTTTCTTAAAGTTAGAGCATTTGAAATTAATAAATATGAGAGTAGACTTAATAACATATTTAAGAAATAGGTGATTTGAATACCTCACCTTACCTATCGAAAAATGGTTTCTGTACCAATTGAGCTAATAATTATTGAAGATTTTTGCAATTTATTATTTAGATAATTTATGGTTAGCAATTGCATCTAAAATAGAACTTCTTATTTTTGCCTCTTTATTATACCCTGTATAGACTACATCGTCATAGCTGTAAACCTTAATAGTACTAAAGCTATCTCTCTTCTTTATTTTTTCACAAAAATTTCCAACAAAATCACTTTTATCCTCTTTATTATATTCGTGCTCATTTGCAAATTCCTGAAGAATATTAGCTAAAGTATCCCTAGGATTAATATCTAGGTTTGCTAATGTAACACTGTTAGGGAATGAAATAGACCTATCTTGCATCATGATGTGAAATCTTTCGTCCAATACTTTACCTATCTTTATAACCATATGTTCAGCTAGCTCAGTGAATATTGTAGAATCCTGAGGGCTAGGGCTATCTAAATATAATATTGGAACACCATCAATAAAAAATTCAGTAAATATCACTATTGATAAAAAATAATTTTTATTAAATTTAAAAAGATGCCACAAACATTATCTAAACTTAGATTGTTAAATAAATAGACAAATAATATAAATATGTTTAATGCCAGGGCAGGAATTAAAATGAAAGAAAACCCAATAGAGGGTTTATATAAAAAGAAAGGTGTAGCTGTAAACAAAAACATTACTAGTAATATTGCTTTAAAAATAAAGTATGTAATTAAACCTTTATATCTTGGTTCATATATTATTCTAGGGTAAAAATATGTAATACTTAATATTATTGAATTTATGATAATAATAATAAGAATTAAAATTAAAAAATTTAAATAATGTGAAGATATAGAGATTAAAGTTACCATTACAATTCCGGAAAATAATGCAAAGATTAAGTATAAAGTACCAATGTCTTTAGCATTTGAAGATAAAAATCAACGTTCTCGTCACAATGATATGTGTGAAAGATTCTTTTTAATAGATTTTTTTGTTGTGAAACATCTTCTAAATTTTCCATCAATTCTATTTGTTGTTGTTTTAAATATACAATCGATTTTCTTTGTTGTGAAACTTGTTTTAAAGTTTCAATCCTTTCTACTTGTTGTTGTTTAATTTGTTTAAAATTTTCAATTGTAAAATTATTATTCATATTTATTAAATATATGTATGTTTACTATACGAATCTTTTTCTAAAAAAAATAACGCTATATAATGTTATATGGCTAAGAGCCATATAACAGGACATGTATCATAAACATAGAGTTCTATAATTGTATTTTGTTTGCTAAAAAGTCCAATTTACTAAGCTGGACTTACGTTTGGTTTAATAGTTATAAAATTTGTATATATCATGTAAAATTGTAGTTATATATGTATTATATTTAAATAAGAATGAAGTGAAAAATATATCATACATATCGTAAACTGTATAATGTATAGGATAAACCCTTGATATAGCGCTTTGGCGAAACAAAGAACAATAGAAATAGAGAGCTCTCCATTTGTTTTTTAAGGCCAGAGGGATTCGAACACTCATCTGAGCTATCATGAGCAGCTTGCTTTACCTATTAAGCTATAGCCTTTATATAAGTTGTGCGGACAGAAGATTTGCAC